TTATAAATTCTTTCTCACTTGTTACTTTCATTTTTTCTCTATATAAATTTTGTAACTTTTGCTTCAACTGTCAAATATAATTTAGGAAACTCAAGATGAGAGGAAACATCTGCCCATATGTGTATATATATATATATATATATATATATATATATATATATATATACACATATATAAATATATGTATATACATGTATAACTATATGTATATTTACCCATATCTTTGTTTATGATGCCTTTTTTTCTTCTTGATATTCCTGTGTTCCTTCTTTTATCATTTCTTTTCTGTTTGGAAAATGTTTTAAACCATACTTTCAGGGTGAATTTACTCATGATAAATTCTCTCAGTTTAGCTTCATCCAAGAATTGTGATTTCTCCCTTATTCCGAAGAATATTTTCCTGGGATACAATTCCAGGATGTCAGTTCCTCTCTTTCAACACTTGAAAACATGTCATTTCTTTCTGGCCTCCATGTATTTTTTTTTAAAGAAAAAAGCATATATATATATATATATATATATATATATATATATATATATATATATTTAATTTAACTTTTTAAAATTTTATTTTATTATAGAGATGTGGGGTACAATTAAGGATTAACTGCACAAGTAGGCTGCGTACAGGAAAAGTTTGGTCCTCCAACTGGCCCTCACTTCCCTTGGTCCAGGACCATGTACCCTTTGTGTTGTTATGTACCTTCTCTCCTTTTCTTCCCTGACACAGTGCCCAGGGACTGATGATTCTTCCCTTGTGTTCATGTGATTAATGTTCGGGTCCCACTGATGATTGAGAACATGCGGTATTTCTATTGACAAATCTGCTCTTATTCTAATTGTTTTTTCCTGTATAGGAAAGACATCATTATTTTCTGGGCGCTTCCAAATTTTTAATTAGTTTCAGAAGTGTGTGTTTTACATGTCTTCATAGGAATATCTTTGGGCTTATCCTATTTGAGGACTTAACTTCTTAAATCTATTGGTTTATGCCACTAGCAAAGTTTAGAAAATTTTCAGCCATCATTTTCTCTAATTTTGTTTAGCTTCATACCCTTTCCCCTCTTTATCTGAGAATCTGCTGGCAGGAATATTAGATTTGTTGTACTCCTACAGGTCTCTGAACCTCTGCTTCCCATCCCACACTCCACCTATTATTTCTCTGTTATTCAGATTTAGTAATTTTTATTATTCTGTCTCATGGTTCAGTGATTCTCTCCTGGGTCTTCTCCATGTTTCCATTGATCCCATTCACTGAAGCTTTTTGGTTATTATATTTTTAAGTTCTAATATTTTCATTTGGTTTTCTGTTGTAGTTTCTATTTCTTTGTTGAGGCTTTCTATTTTTTCATTTGTTTCCAGAGTATTTGTAACTGTTTATTGAAACATGTTTCTATCATGCCTACTTTAAAATCGCCAGATATCTAACATCTCTGTCATTTTAATGTTAGTATCTATTGTCTTTTTTCATTCACTTTGAGATCTTTCCGGTTCTTTGTATGGTGAGTGATTTTTGATTGAATACCAAACAATTTTATATTGTATTATTAGACTTTGCATCTCATTTAAACTTTGTTTTTTAACTGATTTTCTCTGACATTTCTTTGTCAGGGCATGGGAAGGGCCTATCTTGCTACTTCTAGGTGGAAGTAAAAGTCCAAGTTATCTAACCAGCCTCTCTATTGACATAGGAGGGGAGAGGCTCTTGGGAATTGCTGGGTGTTCTCCTCTACATGGTCTCCACTGATACCACAGTAAGGGTGGCCTCATAGCTGCTGAGTGGTGTTGAGAATCTTAAATCTCCACTAGGATTGCTCTGAAACTACCTGAGCACTGAGGGAGAGTATGCCTCATTTCTGCAGGGAAAGAATGGCATCCCTACATCTCCCTTAGGATTGCAAAGGCACTCTCCCTGGTGTGAAAATCCAGTGGACTATTCTTCCTTCCCTGACACATCTTGTCATAGGTATTGGGGCACCATGATACATCCTAGCAAGACTGGAAATCTAGGCATCCCATTTGGTCTTGTGTATGGGCTTGAAGTGGGGTCATTTTTTTTCCCCTGCAGCTGGAGAAAAGACATTGTCTCTAATTCACTCTACTTGGCTACAGTAGAGTCATTGTTTAAAGCTGTTCTGTCCTGCTGGGCTTTCCATTTCCTAGCATCTGGGGAATATTAGGATGACCAGAGGAATTTGGCTTTTGTTGCTTTTTGTTTTTGTCTGTACCTGCTGGTGTTTCCTGTTGCAGCTTCCTCACCTTCAAGTCTAGGATGGGTGAAACAAAAGGAATATCCCAGGAACTTCCCTCTTCATTGCCCCTCAGGTTCTGAGGTCCTTAGCTTTTCTGCCTATGTGTGCCATGGGAAGTCTCCTTGAGTTTGCCATGTGTACTGTGTCCAAGGATTTTAGTTGTGCTTAGCAGGTAGAATAGGAAAAGTATGTCTGCTCCATCATCCCAGAAGTAATATTCTTACTATTTTTTGATACTTACATGTTTTGGTAATTTTTCAAAAAGGTCAAAAATTTGCTTACACCTGGGATTCACCATTAATTTATCCATCCACTAGGATATAGGAGTCTGGGGCTAAATTAGTGATGGCAACTGAAATCTTTTTTGTCATATGTAGCAATTAATCATTTAAAATTACATGAACACATATTGGTTGGTTTTTAGAAATCTGATGAATATGTGAATTCACTTTAATTTCACCCTGTCACTTTTAGATATGAACACCAATAGATGTGTAGAATGGAAATCTGTTCACACAAAATAGAAAAATGTGAAAAGCAGACATCATGTATTTGAATAAAGAGGTGAAAAGCAGACAGGATGAAAGTGTTATTTCTAAAACCATTTTGTAGAAATGGTTTTAAAAATCACTAAACTACTAAGCTTAAATTTTTAATCTTAATATATCTTCATATACTATTACCTAGCAAAAATAGAAACATCCCTGATATTGGGCAGGAGAACTCAAAATCAAATATCCTCACTCTTGATGAGAAAAAAAGTTAACAAAAGGGAAAATAAAATAAAATATAATGAATTGGTTTTGAGCCTAAAGCCTCATTATTAAGCTCACTTTGTTACCTTTTAAAACATGTTACTGGTGACATAAACAGTTGGCTGTTACTATAAGTAGAGCATATTCTCCTGAGAAACATAACATGAATTCTGTTCCTGACTTCCTGTTTTTTCACAAATGAACTAAATTAAAAAAATAACTATAGAAGATTTTTAAGATGATCACTTTATTTAGATTTTTTTCAGATGACAGATATCAGGTATATGACTATAAGTAACGACGAACTGATTCTGTACTTTTTTGATATTTAATGAACAGTAAAAGTTAAAGGACTGAGGAAGTCGCAGGGAATGGTAACTCAAAAGCACGTTGAGATACCACCAAATATCAGTAAGGATGGCCCTCACCAATAAATCAAAAAACAACAGAACCTGACACAGGTACCGAGAAAAGGTAATACTTCTACAGAAAATAATGTGTCGAATTTTAAAAGAACTAGAAATTGACCTTCCATATGACCCAGAAATTCCCCTCCTGGGAATATACCTGGAGGAACACAAACCATTCTACAAAAAAGACAACTACACTCATATGTTCGTTGTCACACTATTTACAATAGCAAAAACATGGATCCAACCATGCTGCCCATTGAAAGTGAACTGAATAAAGAAAATATGCTACATATACACAACTGAGTATTACGCAGTCATAAAGAAGGACAAAATTATGGAATTTACAATAACTTGGATGGATTTAGACTCTATCATACTCAGCAATCTATCACAGAAACAAAGGACTGAGTACCACATGTTCTCACTGATAAGTGGACCCTGAATACCTATCATAACGCTAGAAGGGATTGGCAGTAGTGGGACCTGACAGGGGAGGGGAGGGATACATAATCTAACTAAGGGTACTGGATCCTAAACAGGTGAAGTGAGGTCTAGATGGTTGCCCAAACTTTGCCTGCTTGTAAACCACTCAAGCACCTAATCCTGACTTGTACCTAACATTTTTATATTAAAATAAAGTAAAAAAAAAAAAACAATTAAAGGACTTCTAGAGTTTAACTGTAATAGTATTTTATACTGTATATTTTGGGATATTAATTATTGTGATATTTGGATATTTAAAAAAATGCTACATGATCTTCTTAGAAGTTTATAAGGAATAACTAAATTAAAATAGATATTTTTTAGAAATTATCATAAAAGTTTTGATTGTCCTCCATTTTTACATCTTATAGTGATTCTTTTTTTTTCCCCTGCTTTATTCAAATTTTAACAGCAAATCACCACTTTGCAGCATGTTAGAAAGCATGAAAATTGGATAGCTAGGATAAAGATGCCAGAATAGCCACAGAAACTCAAGAATATTTAAAAATCACGTATACTGAAAAAATAACTTATGTGAAACGGATCCTAGACAAGTAATCCTAGACATTTTTTCACCTACAAATATTTAAAAGAGGTACATACACATAAAAGTGTGATCACAATACGTATTTCAGTTGCTTTTCAATTTGTCATTAAGACTATTGACAACGTGGCTGATATTAAGAATCACCTGGGATTTTACCAAAACAGTGGATTTCTAAGAATTACTCATGCAGCTTATGCATCAGGATCTTGGGTCTATTATTGTTGAGCAGACATACTTGAAAAATGGTATATTAGAAGAACCCAAGAGGAACAATGACAGCACTTGCCCAAATATTTCAAACCTTTTTTTTTTTTTTTTTTTTTTGAGTTGGAGTCTCACTCCATCGCCCAGGCTGGAGTGCAGTGGCACGCTCACGGTCATACCAGCATCCACCTGTTGGGCTCAGGTGATCCTTCTGCCTCAGCCTTCCAAGTAGCCGGAACTACAGGTGTGTGCTACCATGCCCGACTAACAAACTCTTAATAAAATACTTAAAAAATTCCACTATATTCTACTTCACTGAAATCAGGAACAGATGCATATGACTCACCTAATTGAATAGAGAACATTTCCGTTTTTGAAAATTCTTAGCAATTTGTTGTCTGTAGTGACTTCGTGAAAGTTGGCCCCCTTTTCATTGGCAAAGAACAAATCAGGCTTCCAAATGGAGTCCAACATGGAAGGGTCGAGGTCTAAGGAGTCGTCAGGATATTCACTGTACGCAAGGCGAGGATCGTTCCATTTCTGGCGAAGAAAGATATTCACTCTGTAATCCTATGATAAAAGAAAAAGAAATCACCATGTTTAAAAAAGTTTAGAATCCACAGTGTCAATGTGAGTTCATTAATTTTAACAAATATACCATGATGGTGGGGTACGTAGATGACAGGGGAGTTATGCATGGAGGGGAGAGCAGGAAGTCACTGGAACTCTCTGTACCTTCCTCTCAATTTTTCTGTGAACTGAAAACTGCTCTACAAAGTAAAGTCTTTTTTTAAAAAAGTGCAGGAAAGGTTTACGATCTTGTCTGCTACTCTGGGTTTCTCTGAATTTTAACAAAAGTCCTTGGGAGCTTTCATGCCCTGTAATCCTCACACATTGCTACCTAAAATAATCATTCTCCTTCCGAAGTTTTGCCCTTGTCTCAGTAACCTATATGCCTTCAAAGAAAAGATCACAGAAGACCCAAGTTCATATGCTTACATTTTGCTGTTCCATTCAAATTTTGCTTTCATGGTTTGTCAGACTGAAATATTGAACTGCTAGTAGACATTTAGAGTTAAATGTTTTTAAAGAATAACAAAGGACAATTATTTCCAATAATACTTTTAAGATTTGGCTGATGAGATTTCCCAATTAGACTCTTTATGGTTTATTTAAAAAGGAGAGGAGTCAATGATTTTAATCAAATTCTTGCTCATAATTTTGGGCTTACATATCGAATGACAAAGATTGATAGTTGGGCATATGTGTAGTGTTTGTGTATCCACAGTATATGAAAATAAACACCACATATGACTTTATAAATGATATTTAAAGATATTTGAAATGAGCAAATGAATTAAATATACTTCATTAAATATATTTCACTAAAATATACTTCATTAAAAGCACGATTAAAGCAAACATTTGAAGAAAGCTTCATTTCTATGAGGAATAGTCAAGGCTGGAGATATTCAGGGAAACTGAAAAACAATTTTCATCTAGTTTTCTATTTCTTTAATACAAAATTATAAGTCATCAGAATATAGTCAACAAACAATCAAAAAGGATGCTTCCATAATATCAGCTGAGGCAGGTTGCTTATCTTAGGCCAAATTCTGAGTTTGTACTGAAGGTTACAAATCTGTATGTACCCCTGATCAACAACACATGTGCCCTGAGACCACTGTCTTCTAACCGCAACTAAGGTTACACACCAGATACTATTTTTTCTGCTTGCTAGGTTCCCCATGTATCTTTCGCAGTTACAACAGAGAAGAGCTCCCTTCAACTTCTTACCAGAAAGTTCACAGCAATGTGTAAATTCCACCAGCCACAAGGATCATGGAACCAGTAAATGGGGGTCCTATGGTTGGTGGCCAGTTCTTTACCATGCTGCCAAGTGTACCCTCACTACCACCACAGGAACTGATAAAGGACTAAAATCAATCTCTCTCTGCCTTACAGGCAAGAGAAGGTCAAAAAAAGACAAGTTATCATCACATCTCCCAGGGTGATAACTGATTAGAAAAGAAACGACATTCCTACTGATTCATAGGATATATGACAAAAGTGTTTGAAGCATTTTCATGCTGTAACACTTTTCTTGTCTGGGAACCTTCTGCAGCTGTTCCTCACACTTAGGCTAAAATACAAAGACTTTTAAGCTGCAGAATACGTAATACAATATGGTTGAATCTCTTCATCCTTCTGTTATTGGTACTCGTGATATACTTTATAGACACAATTTCTGGTCCTCCAGGAACACTTTTTTCTCCAAGAGAGAGCTAAAAAAAGGCATCAAGTGTCTTTTAGTTTCTGCTTCTAAATCACACAGGAAAAATCAACAGTCATGTGTCACCAAGGCCAAATGTTATCATGTATCCACTGCAGTGCTCTTTCTGTGAGTAACCCGAAATATCTCTATTTCTTAGCACATTTAGTTTAGGAAAATAAGATCTGAGACAATTAGAGAACATTCTGTTATTCACAATGACATGGAAAATACATTTTATCTAATACCTTGCATGGTAACCACAGTTAATAATGTATTGAATATTTCAAAATTGCTAGAAGAACAGATTTTTAATATTCTCACCACAAAAACATGGTAAGTTGGTGGGGTGATGAAAATGTTCATTATCTTGATGAAATCTTTCTCTACTTTGATTAAGAGCCAGGACTCAAAGCAAAACTCTGAAATAACATATCCTGAAAAACTTAGAAACTTAAGTTTTCAGCGCATTTGAGTTCCTTGTTGATCCTAGATGTTAGGCCTTTGTCAGAGACATAGTTGACAAGTATTTTTCCCCATTCTGTTGGCTGTCTCCCTGCTCTCTTGATGGTTTCTTTTGCTTGATGGTTTCTTTTGCTTTGCAGAAGCTTGTCAGTTTGTCTGCCTTATCTCTTGTGGTGTTGGCACTTGGGGTTTTGATCAGGAATTGGCTGCCTGTTCTAATTTCCATAAGGGTGTTCCCTGCATTTTCTAAGATTCTTATAGTTTGAGGTTTTACGTTTAGGTCCTTCATCCATTTAAAGTTAATTTTTGTATGTGGTGATAGGTAGGGGTCCTATTTCAATCTTCTGCATATGATCAGTCAGTTTTTCGAGCACCATTTCCTGAATAGGTTCTCTTCTCCCCAGTGGTTGTTGTTGGAGGCTGTGTCAAAGAGGAGTTGGTCGAGAAATTGAGACTTTGCTTCTGGAATCTCTATCCTGTTCCATTGGTCTATATGCCTGTTCTTGTATCAGTACCAGGCTGTTTTGATTATTGTAGCCTTACAATAAAGTTTGAAGTCTGGAGGTGTGATACCTCCTGCTTTGTTTCTTTTGCTAAGGATTGTTTTGGCTATTCATAGTTGTTTGTGTTTCTATATAAATTTCTGTATTGTCGCTTCCACAAACAACTCCATTAAAAAGTGGGCAAAAGACATGAATAGACATATCACAAAAGAAGATATACAGGCAGCCAACAGACACATGAAAAAGTGCAGCCGGGCTCGGTGGCTCAGCCTGTAATCCCGTGCCTTTGGGAGGCTGAGGTGAGTGGATTGCCTGAGCCCGCGGGTTCGAGACCCGCCTGGGCAGCGAGACCTCATCTCTACAATAAATCAAAAAATCAGCCGGGCATGGTAGCGCATGCCTGTAATTCCGGCTACTTGGAAGGCTGAGGCGGAAGGATCGCCGGAGCCCAGCAGGTCGAGGCTGCGGTGGCCGGAAGCGGCCACTGCACTCCAGTCTGGGTGACAGAGTGAGACTTCCACTCAAAAAAAAAAAAAAAAAAAAAAGAAAAAGTGCAAAGCCTCACTAATCATCAGATAAATGCAAATCAAAACCACATTGAGATACCACATAACCCTAGTAAGAATGGCCATCATTAATAAAACAAATAACAACAGACGCTGGTGAGGACATGGAGAAAAAGGAACACTTCTACATTGCTGGTGGTAATGCAAACTACTGCATTCTCTTTGGAAGACAGTGTGGCAATTTCTGAAAGAACTAGAAATTGACTTTCCACATGACCCAGCAATTCCCCTATTGGGAATATACCCGGAGGAACTCAAGTTATTCTATCAAAAAGATATATGCACATGTATGTTTGTTGCAGCTCTATTCACAATAGCAAAAACATGGAACCAACGATGCTGCTCACTGAAGCAGGGCTGGTTAAAAAAATTGTGGTACATATGCACAATGGAATATTATGCAACCGTAAAGAAACACAAACATATGAATGTCGCAGCAACTTGGATGGATTTAGAGTCTATCATACTCAGTTATCTATCACAGAAACAAAGAACTGAGTATGATATGTTCTCACTCATAAGCAGACCTTGAACAATTATCATAATACTATACGAAAGGGATTGGCAGTATTGGGAAACTGCCAGGGGAGGGAAGGACACAGCTCATCTACAAAGGTACCTGCATAATGAACTTTTGTATACATAACCCTGAATCATATCCCACATCTTTAAAATAAAGAAAAACAAAAAAAGAAACTTAAGGTTTACCACTCTTCACAGTTTAGGCTTTGCTTTGCCAGCAAGTGGATTGGGAGCTGGAAAGTTTCTCCATTAAATAACCAAATTCAGCATTTCGAAAGTATTTTTTAAAGGCTGATTTATCCTAGCCACAGTGTCCCATTATTCTCAGCAACCAATTGTATTAATCATTTTTGAATCTTGGTCATTTGTGAAAAGGGTAAACAAACTGCCATAGTCAAAATAATACCACTCTAAGAGAAGTTTTTGTAACTAGATTTGAAATAACTTGCCTAGAATAACAGACTATCTACTGAAGAAGAAAACAGTTTAGTACAACAAATTTTGCATATGGCAAAAGGCTAAATTATATCCTAACATAACACTACTCAGAAAGCAACTTTGAGTGAATTAAAATTTAAATATGATGAGTAAATTGCTTTTTAAAATAAAATATAGAAGAGTATTTCTATGTCCTTGAAGTATGGTAAATTACTTAAAAAGCACAATAGCAGTGATAGTAAATAAAATTTAACAAATTCTATGTCAGAATTAAGGAACTTTTTTTCATCCAAAGGTCATGTAAAGATATAAAAAGACAAACTATACTGAAAGAAGGTATTTGTCACATACATAATTGACAATTGAATACTAACAAGCTTTAAATGTTCTCATACCAATAATTGAGAAAAAGAACAACAACTGAGTAGAAAAATGGCTGAAACAATGAAAACATTTCACTGGGCAGGGATCACAATAAATATCTGAAAAAATGTTCAACCACGTTAGTAATTTGAGAAGTGCAAATTAAGTTATTAATGAAATATATATTTACTGGGCTGTTGAATGTAAATAGTTTGGTAGTGTCAGAATTGGGCAAGAGTGTGTAGCAAAATTATCCCTTACATACTGCTGCTAAAAGTAGAAAAAAATGGAAAAATTGGCATTGTATCATAAACTTGACATGTGAATACTCAAGATATAAACATTTTAGTTCTAAGTATAAACCTTAAAGAAACTCTTGCACATGTAAAGCAGAAGACATTCACAAAAATATTTATAGCAACACTGTTAGCTATTGTGAAA